GAAAAGTAAAGCGGTTTTTCCAAATCGCCACTACAGGCAAAGCAAGAGCACAGTCCTGTCTTCTAACTTTGGTACTACATCTAATGGCAATTTCTGCCATTCCCTAAAAGCACATAAGCTCTGGAAACTGTTTTATTACAGCAATCACCTCTAGAAATTTTCAGAATCACATATTATTCAGAAAGCTCATTTCAGCAGGAAAAAAAAAACAGTTAGTTATATACTTTTCTTGTCCCCTAGACCCATTTTTTTTTGATTTCTCAGATTAGGGTACCAATCAGATATTATTCTCCCTCTTCCCATGGAGACCACAACACAAGGTCGTTATTTATTACCTGCTGAAAATTAAAAAAAAAAGGTATTAAAAATTACAGTTTCCTATATTACAGTTCTGTAGATACAGGACTTCTGATGACACTATAATTTTCTGAATTCTGGTCAAGGATTTTCAGTTAATATTCTTCAATACTGCCCTGTAAGCCTATAGTTACATTGCAAAATCAATGTATACAACTATTATTTGGCTTTTCTATCTTTGCTTGCAGTAAGAACCGCATTTCTGAAGCTATTTATCAGCACTTTCATCATGCCATAAAGGCTATTTCTTCCTTCCTAATTGTGTTTTGTTCATTTCTGTACTGAGCAAAATATGGCAACTGGTCAAAAGGATATATCCTTTCTTTCCAGCAAATTGAATGCTAGTTTCCTGGTCATCTCCAGATTCTTAGAAACTACAGAGTAGTGAAAACTGGGAGGCACAAGTGCTCCCCACATCCCTACTGCCCAGCATTACAGCAGCAAGGGAGAGCTGCAGACAACTTCCTGACACTTCTTCCAGAAGAAGCTTTTCCAATTAAAGCCACTAGTACAGCATAACCAGTAATAACAGTAAGTTGCTCCAAAATATTCCCACTCTGCTCTTGACACTGCCTTTTACTGGAAGCTATGGTCCCCTTTGACCAAGTGTGGCCCAGTTACAGGGAAATCTATGAGGATTACTGAAAACCAGCAAACTTGCAAATGCTTTTCAGAGCTAAGAAAATCCAAGCCTTCCTACCACGTTTCTGACATCTTCCCACTCTAGTGTAAGTCACATTTACATGGCTCATTCTTCCATTTAACACTTCCCACAACTTGAGTCCTTCCTGTCTTCACTTCCTTTTCCCGCCTTTTCCTGCAAAATCTCTTTACTTTTGTGCTTAGCTCACATAGAGTTATCACAGCGCCCTGTGATATTTTTCTCTGCTAAACTGATTAGTTCTTTAAGTCAGCTCTCTGCCTGCTGGAGACAGACACTCCCCTCATGATCTCACAGCAGTCCACACTACTACCCAACAGCACTGCTGCTTTTATTTGTAATGAGCATAGCTCCTCTTTTTGCGTGGTCATTACATGGCTTGCTTGCAGTCCAGCTGCTGCCTCCCACAGCTGCAGGATTTGCCGGACAATCCCTTCCACGCAGCAGCAGCTGCTGCAGCTCGCAGCTCTCCGGGAGCGCGGAATGCTGCTGCTGGGGGAAAGATGCTCTCGCTCCCTGCGGCAGCAGTGCCCTGCACTGGTCCCTGGCAGCCGGGAGGAGCAGCCGCCGAGGCCATCCAGCTCCTGCCGGTAATGGGGGTAACATTTTGCTGTCTCGACTGGCGGAGTTGATCAGCCTCTCCCGAGAGCTTAGAAGCGCACTGAATTAAAGGACTCTCGCTAGAGGCAGGATCGGGTTTGTACTGGCCGCTGCTCCTGCTGAACTTGGTTGCAGCTGCATTCCTCTCTCCCCCCACTCGCACATCTTGCAGTACTGTCATTTCTTTCCAAGCTCAACATCAAGGTTCATGTAATTATATATAAGCATATACATATGATTGTATATGCATGCATTACTTCAAAAAGATTTGCATAGTAAAGCCTGCAAAATGAGAAAACACCAGTATTAAAGGAAGCAGGTGTGATTCAGCAGCTTGTTGTGGGCATGTTAGGAGACCGTCACATGTGGCTGCAGACTTCTTCAGTGCATATTGTGCCAACCCTGCACTTCCTATAAAATCATCATCACCTCCGGAGCTTTTCTCATCATACCCAAGTGCTGTATCCATTCATGACAAAATACCTTCGGCAACACTGTTTTAGCCCTTCTTAAAACGAAAGAATGTGGGCATATTTTACGTACATTAACACACAATAGCACAGTGTTTTCGGCATGCTTAACTACAGGGTCTTTCCTTTCCTTCCTTATGCATTGTGCACTGTAACAGAAGCCAAAGTGCTGCAGGTATTAACCAGCTCCGATTCAGCATCAGTGGCACTGCTCATGGTGTGCACTGATTAAGCAACAAAAGCTTTCTTGGAAAAGATCTTGTCCCAGAATTAAAATCTGGTACCCTTTGAGTCCCTCGTTCCAATGCACAAATCGCAGGACTGACAGGCAGCAGATGTGGGATCTTTTCGTAACAGATCACCACGACGTACAGGCTCACTGGAAGCAACAACGTCGGGAACTTTGAAATCAAATATTTCTTAATTCTGATTATGCAGCTTGCATATTTTGCCAATCATTTTCCCAAAGTTTTGCTGAACGAGGCGTATTGTCCCTGTCCCCCGTAGCTGCGAGATCCTGCTGATCAGAGCAACCTTGGAGCTGCGTGAGGCGGCAGCGGCGGGGCCGACACAGCCCCCGAAGATCCCACTGCTGCACCGGCTTCTGGTGAGGGAGACAGTCTTATGGTTTGATTTCTTAATTGAAAAACTGTAATTGTAGCAGCACCAGGCCCCAACGTGCATAATGAATAGAGTGTGGACCATTGAAATCTATAGCACAGACTGCTCCTACTTCACCTAATTAAGTAACAGCTCGCAGTTAGGAGCTTTTCCATATGCATATGTAAAGCCTGCTGATAAAAGGGGAAAGGGAACTCTTAACAGCTTTGTTGTTGTTAGGCTGCAGGAACTTAGGAAGCTGCTGAAAACTCTGGTAGGGTATTTAGCTTTGTGCTTACAGCCTGATTGCTTTTGCTTTTAAGTCTAAATACTTTTTTTCTCTCTTACCATTTGTTTTGCTGCACTTATACTTTATAGCCATTTCTCTACTCTTTAGTACTTGTGACCTCCTTTTTCTGCTATTCTATGTTGTTCTATACATATGCTTTTCTTTTCCTACTTTCTCTTGCTTCCTTACCACCAGTGGGAGTAGCAAATGTGGATAAGTGTGCACATGCTTTAAATCTATATCCAGCTCTACAGAGGACTTGCAGAACCCTGGAAATAATTATTCTGAGAAAAATTGTGTTCAAGCTCCACAGCAATTGTGTGGAACATATGAATTTGCACAGTTTCTGTCATGCAGTCCAGCCACTAAGCAGTTGTGAGAGTTGTGAGTATAGATTTTTCAAGGACCAACTTATAAGTTTCTGAGAGTGTGGAAGTGTTTCAAGAAACAGCTTTTGTGGAAGAAGTTTCAAGGACTCTTTGGTGTATCTTCCTGAGAATGGCAACAAGCACTCCTGAGACCTCCATCTGCTAAAGTCACTCTTCCAAAATGTGGAGGTGGAAGAATTTCTGAATTGAATATTGCAATATTTTTAGTATAGACAAAAAAAAGAATGTGTTTTCCTTGATCATGCCTCATAAGTGACTAAACTGCTTTCCAACTGGAACTTCCTCAATACTAAAATTGAGGTGGGTAAAGACTATGGAAAAGTTTTCCCTAGCCAGATGCAATTTTAGGAGAAAAAACCTGAATATAGAGTCTTACCACGGGAAGACTCAAAAAGAAAAATACAGTCTTAACTACTGGTAGTGAAAGTAGCTCCACCTAGAACAGGTATAAAATCACAGCTGTGTGTACTCTTCCTAAGTGACTATATAATTAAAACATCATTTTTGCCATCTTTCTCCTTTTCCTTCCTAATTGTTATCTGTTGTGTAGTTGGCATGATGACTCAGATGATAGAATTATGCTGGAAATTATATATACATGGAACACTGAGGCCCAAGAATGCAAATTCTTCTGAGTAAACAATCTAGTTTGGGGGGTGGGGGTGGGTGGGTGTATTTATTCCGCCAAGCACTAGACATACAGTAATATAAGTCGAAGAATAGAAGTTTTATGTTTGAACTACTGCTTTCAAGCTGAATCTCAAAACAAACTGAGCTTTAGTTCAAGGCTTGAACTTGCTGTTGAAAAGAAAATCAACAGTGCAATTTTCTTTATCATGAGCATCTACATCTACCTATGGCTTTGAGTGTATAATAACAGTCTCAAGCAACTGGAGTTTTTCCACTGTAGTTTTGTCCTCATTTGCTCTTGTAATCATTCAAGCTTAGCAGCATTTGTTGCATTCAGATACAGGTCAACTGCATTTTGATGAAGTTCAAAGAAACGGGTGCAGCTGATTGAGCCATATCATAAAAAAAAAAAAAAAAAAAAAAAAAGAGAGAGAGAATATAGTGGCTTGATGATGCTTGTCCAGATCAATGTGATCGTATTTTGCTTTTCATCTGATTCAATACCAGGTTTCTATCGATGAAGTAAACTACCTTTCTGAAAATTCTACCTGGATGATAAGTAATCTGCCTTATTGAAAAGTCTTTTGTTAAGAAATATTTTCTCTGATGTAAGTTAGATACAGATGCCACCTCTTGTCTGCAAGTAAACAGATAAAAGGAATATGTATTTTTGACTGATCACATTGTATAAAGTAATTTTCATTGGTTCATAATGTATCTACAGCATGACAATAACCATGAAGTTAAAGATTGTCAGATTTGTCACTAATTAATACATGAATCATAATGGGACATGAGACAAGCTCACAGGAATCAGGCCCAATGTTGGTTATTGTAAAGCCATGCATACAGAAACAAGTGTTTTGAAGTGACCGGGACCTTGGCTGCTCTGATCTGGACATAGTAAAAGGCCTGACTACTAGAAAATGTTCAGAGCTAAACCATGGAAAAATAGTTTTCTTGTGTTTATTTCAATGCAGACTTGAATCAGCTAAAACCACAAGTCAATGAAACAGGCTGGGATTTTTATTTCTTTTTTTTTGTGATAAACATTATGATAGACTCTCAAGCTAGACAAGGTGGAATAATAGCAGTAGACTGTACCAATCTACTGTTTCACACTGAACAGCCTCTTGCTGCTTGAGTAGTCACCCTGAAATCTCTAAAGAATGCTTGGGGGCAAGGAAAAGGAGGCAGAAGACTGTCCTTAAGAAATTCCTATAGCATGCATCCACTGTAATTCTGTTCTGGACTGTAGTGCATCCACTGCAACTCTTACTCAGAAAGACTCCCGGCACCTTCTGGAGACGCTCCATCATATCTGATCACTAAAGGAGTACAGAGCATGTAATAAAGTCGTACTTTATTGTGGCTTATTAAAACAGCTGTCTAAGGTCATAAATACGATGAGTTGTTTTTATCACCAGGAGAACTCCCGTAAGCGTGAGGATGATGATTAACATCGTATCTCCAGTTCTGCTTACATCTGCAACCCCGTGGCAGATGTTTGGCTCCAGTGCTGTTTAAAAGCCATCAGAAAATGTCTTAATCACTGGTGACCTCTGCAAGAACTTTGGTGGCTTCTACATCGATCTGACCCACAGACTGCTCCTCAGGCAAACATGAAGGCAGGCTTTTTTTATTGATTTGCCAAATTGTCTAGGCTTCCTGTTTTGTCTCCTCATTGGCAATTAAGAGAGAAATCCATGGAGGGAGTGGTGGCAGTGAACCTTTCCCTCTGATACAAATAACCTTAATCGGGCCTCTGAGTTGATTTGTGAAATTGTTCTGTATCGACTTCTCTTTGAAGTAGGATTTCATCCTATGGCCCCATGGGTAGGACATATACATCTTTCTGTTAGCCATGCAGGCTTTTTCTAACTGTGTTATCTTTTACTTCTTATTTACAATCCTACTCCCATCATTGATTCCAGTAATCTTTCCCGCACCGTGAACTGTTATTTTCTTGAGGGAGAACTGGGCTGGGTTTTCTTACCGTTTTTTTAAACCTAGATAATTAATATTAAACCAAGTAATGACAATCTAGGAGGCTGGGGCAGGGGGTCCATTTCTCGGTGTGTTTTTAACATCCAGACAGTTAAAAGAGCCACAATGTTCCTCAGCCTAAAACCAAGACTGATACCTAAAATGGAACTAGATTATTTTGGTGACTTAATTAAACAATGGGGATTAGCTTTCTACACCCTAAAATATGATTTTCCAGGTTAGGATACTGATTGTTTATTCCAGAACACAGCATTTGTGTGTTTCCTTACTTGTGTGGCTTCTTTTGTGTCTGAACAATGGAAATACTACACTTGGCTAACGAGAAATTAAGCATTTCCTCACCTCTTCCCCAATAATCACTTATTTAACCCCCCCAAATTAATGCATTTACCTCCATCTTTCCTATATCTGTTTCATACTGTTTCATGTAAGGCCAGGACTTGTTCGTCCTTCTTAATGTCAAAGTGATATTTTAGACTTGGAACCGTTGAAATAATTGGGAATGTTCATAGCTTATGTCACTATGACTTCATCGCTACTCTGTGATGAAGGGCAAAAGAACTTGGGTGGGGGAGAGGGGATGCCCTGGCCTTGGGGCACTAACACAGGCTGCATCTAGGGCCGAGCCCCCTCCAGATCTGGCAGCTCTTCCCCCTCTTATGCACATGCACTCAGGTTTTTTTGTGTCAATGATTCACTCTGCCAGCATGTATGAATTAAATGCAAAGTTTTTCATCTTTAAGATAATCTGTGAGATTTGGTAAATCGAGGTGCCAGGAAAGTTCTGGGTGAGCAGGAGTGTGATTTAGCATCTGTCTTCCTTGCTAGAAAATGCCCCGTTGTACTTGGGGTGCCAAGGAGGATTTTGGCAGGGGGAAAAGGTTTGACTTACCCAGGTGCCATCCCCATCAGCACGAGGGATTTACAGACCTGGCATCATCTATTTCCATCTCTAAATCACAGCACAGAGTGAAATGCAGCGATGCGAAAGATTAGTCTTCATTCGGCGAAGAAATTGCCAAATTAAATGATGACAGATGGAAAAACTAAAGGCCACAGTGTCAGGGGTCCGTCCATAGCCCTGGGCTTTAGGAAGAGGTAAATACACAGAGCTCAGCTGGTGCTGCAGGAGGTGCGTGTCCGGTGGAAAGCCAGAGCTCGGACCGTGTATGAAATCGATACCTGCTATCGAAGGGAGCAGCACGCAGCGTTAGGGCTAACCCAGTGTTATTAGAAAATGATATATTGCACATTAGGATGGATAATTCATGTCGACTTCATCGCCTCAGACCGTCGTGAAAATCCATAAATCATTTTCTCGTTCATGTATCGCCTAAGTGCGATTTGTCACTCGGCATTAGCGGGAGGACGGCCGCGGATCCCCGCCGCTTCCCAGGCGCGGCTCGGAGACCCAAAATGGAGACCTGGTTGCGCTTGGAATCGCGGGGGCAGATCGCATTCCCTGGCTGCGGGCCCCCGAGGCTGCCAGCTCCGCGGGGAGGGAAGGGAGGAGGGAGAGGGGGGAGGTGGCTCCCCCCGGGATTACAGACGTGTATCAGTATAAATCTGTGTGTCCTCGCGTGGTTGTGCCCCCCGGATCACGCCGGCGCTGCAGGAGCCGCGTGTGGGTGTCGCGCCTGGAGCGCGCGTGGGGAGGCCGGGGATGTGCTCCCCTTTCCTCCGGAGCTCCCTCCGACCCCGGAGGCGGGCACGGACGCGGGCACGGGCACGGGCGGGCTCTGTCCCCCGGGTTTCGCCTGCGTTCCTCGAAGGCAGGCGAGGTGCCGCTTCCGGAGCTCCGGCGGCGGGCAGGGGAGGGCGGGCTGGAGTCGGGCTGCCCCGAGTGGCGGTCAGTGCCTGATGGGTCCCCCCCGGCCCCCCGGGAAGCAGGGGGATGATCCCCGCTGTCCGTGCCCGGGGCTGGCGGCAGCGCACGGGCAGGTGAGCGGCGGCGGCGCTTCTGCATGGAAGGGGAGCGCAGCGAGATCCCCGTCCGCATCCAGCGGGGAGCGGGAGCAGACGGGGAGTTCTGACGAAACCCATTTCCCTGGAAAACACCCACCGCAGTCGCCCCGCGGGCTGTGCCCCGCGCTGCCACAGCGCCGAAGGGTGTGCTGGGGCCCGGGGACCACAGGATGTAATTTGGGGGGCCAGAAGGGGAGGGGGCGCATCTCCCTGCCCGCCGCGCCGGCTGCCGCTTCCCCGCTCCCCCCTCCAGCGGCCAGGCAGCACCGCCTGCCGCCACGCCGAGCAGCAGCGCCGCCGCAGCGCCGATGCCGGCAGCGATACGGGGACTCGGGCAGGCAGCGCCAGGGCCGGTGCCGGGCGGCGGCCGCGGGGGCCCCACGGCGGGGCCGGGCCCCGCTGTCCCCCCGCGGGGCGGGGGCGGCGCCGCCCGGGCGCAGTGCGGCGCTGCGGCCGCTGGGGGGCGCCAACCGCCCGCGAGTGCGGCCGCGGCCCGGGGTGGGGGTGGGACCCCACGGAGGGATCCGGGCTTGGGAATCATGGAATGCGCTGGGTTGGGAGGAACCGTGAAGACTATCTGCTTCCCACCCCCCTGCCACGGGCAGGGACACCTCCCACTAGAACAGGTTGCTCAGAGACCCGTCCAGCCTGGCCTTGGACACTTCCAGGGATGGGACATCCACAGCTTCTCTGGGAAACCTGTGCCGGCGCCTCGCCCCTTACTGTGGATTCCTGCGTTTCTGCGGGAAGAGCGCGCCTGAGCGTGTAGTTCATTGAGATGTGTGGAGGAAGCCGCTGCTGACCGATGGGTTAACGATGGGGTCAGAGCAGGAGCTGCTCGTCCCTGCTTCTTGTTGCTCTTCAAAAACAATAACATTTTTTGGTGAAAAAAGACCCTCACAAGAATTACAACACTCAATTATTTTCACTCCTACTTTATTCATTCCGTAGCCTGACGTGGATCTCTCAGCCAGCACCGACAGCCCGTACTGGAGCGTTTCCCTTGGATTCCTCCGGTTCTCCCTGCCAGCCCCCACCCCGGGAATGCCCCTCCACACGCCACCCGGACTACCCAGTGACACACAGTATTCCCAGTTTCCCTCTTCCCACGTACTCGACGGTCTCCTCTTACATAAGAGCAAATTCCAAAATGGAAATCGGAAAATATCGACTCAGGCTTGTGATACTATAAATTGGCCGGAGCTGGAAACACCGTGCGCACGAACGACGGAAAGTTGCGCTCTCTCCATTACCAAACGAACCAGTTAGCCAAAGGGAGGGGAAAGGAACAACAGTAATCCCAAGTTTCCCCCCTTGTTTATGCCTTTTCTAAAAACGCTACTGGAAAGGAAAGTTGGAGGCGGCGAGTGGAAACTCCCTCTCCGAGGAGCACGGTTGTTTACGTTTACCCGTGTGTGTGTGCGCGCCGGTGGCGAGCGGCGATCTCCCGGTCCAGCGGCTGCGAAGGGGCGGGGGGGAGAGGAGAGAAACAGCCAGCCACCGACGGAGGGCAGCGGGCAGGGACTGAGGGAGTGAAGGATGGGGGAGCGAAGGATGGGGGAGCGAAGGATGAGGGAGCGCGGCATCCCCGGGACGCGCCGCCCGAGCTGTGCCCGCGCGCCCGCCCGCCCGTGACGCAACCTGCCTGACGCGCGCCGCAGCCAATGGGACACCGCCCCCGGGGGCGGTGCTGGCAGCCGATTGGTTGGCAGGGGCCTCGCGCTGCGCAAAAGCAGCGGAGCCGAGCGGTGCCGGCTCAGAAACCGCCGGCACAGATCAGAGGAGCCGGGAGCGGGAACGGGAGCAGCAGCGGAGCCGGGACGCGAGGCGAGCGGCAGCAGCAGAGACAGACACAGATACAGAGACAGGCACTAGACGCGAAAGCAGCAAGACACGAAAAAAAAAAAAAAAACACCCTGATCGACACATCCATAAAAGCAGAGTGATGATGATGAACATACTAATACCAGTAAAAGAAGAAAATGAAAGACCTTTAATAGAAGAGAGAAAAATCTGAAATCCTCACATTAAAAAAAAAAAAAAAAAAAGGAAAAAGAAAAAGAGGAAATCCTAGAATCAGGGAATGAAACTTTTGGGTAGCAAAGCTGTTCTCTGCCTTTTTTTTTTTATATGAAATCTTTTTGCAGGTAATTTTTTTTTCCAATTTCGCGGTTTCCTGCCTTTTTCTTCCATCTAAAGAGGGCATGTCCACCGGCTGTTCCAGCAGCATCTACCCCTCCAGCTCCCACCAGGAAGACAAACCGAGGACAATCTTGAAATATAAAAATTTCCTCCTTGGGATTTGCTGCTGCTGCTGCCTCCACCGCCACTGCTGCTGCCGCGGTGCAGTGCCAAGACTCTCGGAATAAATAAAAGCGGGCTACTGTGTATCTCTAGCTACAGCCAGCTAATATCTATTATTAGTTGGTCATTTATTTCGAAGATCACAGATGAAGTGGGGACGCCTGTCTTCTTCATTTGGTCAGCGTGTGAAATAATAATACCCATAACAAAAAGGAGGGAGATGGGGGAGAGAAAAATCCTAACATGAATCAGAAGAAATAGTATCTAGCACACTCCCTCCCCCCAAATCAACCTCCCCCCTCCCTTTTCTTCCCCCCTCCCCTGATCCCGCTCTCTCCACACGTTTGCAGGCGCGGACACACACACACAGACGCGCACACAGACACACACAGACGCGCACACACACACTGTAGTGTGTATTTTCGGAGGAGGAGGAGGTGGTGGTGGCTTTTGGAAGAGGAGGAAGAGGTGGTGTCGGGGAGGGGGGATCTCTTTCCCCGTTTGGAGATGATTGTGCTATTCCTCTTTGCCTTGCTCTGGATTGTGGAGGGGGCCCTTTGCCAACTCCATTACACGGTGCAGGAAGAGCAGGAGCATGGCACGTTCGTGGGGAATATCGCCGAGGACCTGGGCTTGGACATTACAAAACTTTCGGCTCGGCGCTTCCAGACGGCGCCCAACTCCCGCAGCCCTTACCTGGAGCTCAACCTGGAAACCGGGGTGCTCTACGTGAACGAGAAGATCGACCGGGAGCAGATCTGTAAGCAGAGCCCCTCCTGCCTGCTGCACCTGGAGGTCTTCCTGGAGAACCCCCTCGAGCTGTTCCGGGTGGAGATCGAGGTGCTGGACATCAACGACAACCCTCCCTCCTTCCCGGAGCCCGACCTCACCGTGGAGATCTCGGAGAGCGCCACACCGGGCACCCGCTTCCCGCTGGAGAGCGCCTTCGACCCCGACGTGGGCACCAACTCCCTGCGCACCTACGAGATCACTCCCAACAGCTACTTCTCCCTCGACGTGCAGACGCAAGGGGACGGCAACCGCTTCGCCGAGCTGGTGCTGGACCAGCCGCTGGACCGGGAGCAGCAGGCGGTGCACCGCTACGTGCTGACGGCGGTGGACGGCGGGCAGCCCCAGCAGCGCACCGGCACCGCCCTGCTCACCGTCAGGGTGCTGGACTCCAACGACAACGTCCCCGCCTTCGAGCAGCCCGTCTACACTGTGTCGCTGCCGGAGAACTCCCCGCCGGGCACCCTGGTGCTGCAACTCAACGCCACGGACCCCGACGAGGGCCAGAACGGCGAAGTCATCTACTCCTTCAGCAGCCACATCTCGGCCCGCGCCCGGGAGCTCTTCGGCATCGCGCCGCGCACCGGGCGGCTGGAGGTGAGCGGTGAGCTGGACTACGAGGAGAGCAGCGTGTACCAGGTGTACGTGCAAGCCAAGGACCTGGGGCCCAACGCCGTTCCGGCCCACTGCAAGGTGCTGGTGCGGGTGCTGGACGCCAACGATAACGCGCCCGAGATCAGCTTCTCCACTGTCAAGGAGGCGGTAAGCGAGGCGGCGGCGCCGGGCACCGTGGTGGCCCTTTTCAGCGTCTCGGACCGCGACTCGGAGGAGAACGGGCAGGTGCAGTGCGAGCTGCTGCAGGGCGATGCGCCCTTCCGCCTCAAGAGCTCCTTCAAGAACTACTACACCATCGTCACCGAGGGGCCGTTGGACCGCGAGCAGCCGGGCGGCGACGCCTACACCCTCACGGTGGTGGCCCGGGACCGCGGCGAGCCGCCGCTCAGCACCAGCAAGTCCATCCAGGTGCGGGTGAGCGACGTGAACGACAACGCGCCGCGCTTCAGCCAGCCCGTGTACCAGGTGTACGTGAGCGAGAACAACGTGCCCGGTGCCTACATCTACGCCGTCAGCGCCACCGACCGCGACCAGGGCGCCAACGCCAGGCTCGCCTACTCCATCCTGGAGAGCCAGATCCAGGGCATGTCCGTCTTCACCTACGTCTCCATCAACTCCGAGAACGGCTTCCTCTACGCCCTCCGCTCCTTCGACTACGAGCAGCTCAAGGAGTTCAGCTTCCAAGTGGAGGCCCGGGACGCCGGCGAGGAGCCGCAGCCGCTGGCCGGCAACGCCACGGTTCACATCATCGTGGTGGACCAGAACGACAACGCCCCCGCCATCGTCAGCCCCCTGCCCGGCCGCAATGGCACCCCGGCGCGGGAGGCGCTGCCCCGCGGCGCCGAGCCGGGATACCTGGTGAGCCGAGTGGCGGCGGTGGACGCGGACGACGGGGAGAACGCCCGCCTCACCTACAGCATCGCGCGGGGCAACGAGGCCGGGCTGTTCCGCATGGACTGGCGCTCCGGGGAGCTGCGGACGGCCCGCAGGGTTCCGGCCA